CTCCCATCTAGACTGCCTCTCCTTTCTCTCTGTCTTCCTTTTGTTCTCATTCTTTCCATGTGACCCAGGACTAGCCACCCAGCTCTGAGCTCATTATCTTCACAGCTTCACAACCAGAGAGGAAAACATGCTTTTCTTTCCACAAATTCCAGGGAAGGATTCTGATTGGCAAAATTTGGGTCACAGGTTCATCCTTTGAACCAATGACTAAGGCCAGAAAGAATGAAGTATATAAAATGATTGACCTAGTACATGCCCACCTCTGGGGCCAGAGGGAAGTCACTTTCCCAAAGTGGAGGAAGGGGTTCTAGATAGACAAAAACAATAACCACTACAGGATGGAATAATAGAGAGGGTGATGGACTAAGAGTCAAACATCTTGACACTATTCTTGGCTCTGCCTCTAATTTGCTGTGTGATCTTGGACAAGTCCCTTTCCCTCTCTGGGCCCCAGTTTCCCACCTTTGCAATGAAAAGATGGACCAGAAGTCAAAGGGATCCCCCATCTCTAACATTTGGTAACTTTTTGTTGGTTGTTAAGTATTATTCATCACCCCAACAATGATGATATTTGAAAATACTTGCTAAACCCACCAAGCTTTTAGATTACTTGTTCTAGGATATAACATAGTCTAGAAATATCTAAAAATTTTTCAAATTATTTTAGTTATCTGATCTTTCCCAACTTTTTAATGATAATGAAAACAGCATCAACTAAAATGCTTTAGCATCTATTTATACTTTCAAAATGGTCCATGCACTTCTCAATTCTTACATAATATGCAAACCTTACGGACCCACAAAAACCACTTACACATTAATTTTTATTTAAAAAAATAGTGGTTACTTTAAAAAAGGTTCAACATATGAATAAAATCGGCTTTCAGTATATAAATTGTATGTTAAGCCTTATTATGAAACATATATCACCAAAAAAAATAGATGGTGTTGGGAAATCCCCCAACAATATGGAAAATAAGGCAAAGATTTCATTATCACCAATCACTCATTCATTCAAGAAATATTCCCTGAGTGCCTGCTATGTATCAGACACTATTCACTAACTGCCCCTGGGTAACTTACATTCTAGTGGATGCAGCTGCATTCCAGTGATTGAAGACAGAGTTCTTGAATCCTAGTCCATCATCAAGATGAAGTCCATATCTCTCAGCCCCATAGCCTCTCCAGCTCCAAGAGAACTCCCACTTACACCCTGCACCTCGACAAACAGAACTCCCAGCTCCTTCACACCTCTGTTACTGGGAACCCCCTTGTGCTCTCCACATTTTTATCACCTCCTCTGAGAAATCTCCACACTTCTCTTCCTACCTCACAGATTCTGTCCTGCCTTCCTCTGTGCCCTCAGAACCTCTTGCACATGTCTACAATATAGCACATCTCACTTTATGTCAGAATTATTTATGTCACATTGGACTATAGCTTTCTCTAGGGAAAAGAAAGGTTCTTATTTACCTGAGGATTGTCAGAGCTTGACAATCACCACACACCCCACGCATGCACACACACGCGCACACGCCTCCCACTTGTTCTTCCTCCTCTATTCCTCTTCTCGGTGAATGGTACCCCCGTCCTCTCAAGTGCTCAGGCCAAAAACCTGGGCTTCATCCTCAATGAATCCCTCGCTCTCACCTCCTACATCCAACCAAGGCTTGTCCTGTCTACCTCTGTGCACACCTTCATCTCTGGATCAATCACTTCCCTCGGACTAGATCAATCTTGCCCCGACCGTCATAGCCTAGATAACTCATTAATCTTGACTTCCTCTAAGAAGCCTGACTTAATTCCTGTCCCCCGACCCCAGGCTGGGCTGAGTGTTCTCTGGGTAGTTAGGTCTCCTATGCTTCCTAGTTTATATGGTGATTGCTCTTCTCTCCTAATGTAACTAGGAGGGCAGGTTCTTATTTATAAGTGCATCCCCATCTCCCAGCCTATTGCCTGAGATGTGATTAAGTCCCCACTGATGACTTTTTAAATAAATGCAGGAACAAACCTGTTTGGGCTCAGAAAGCCTGGATGCCACTCAGATCTGCCACAGTTAGCTAGCTGGGTCACTATGCACTTAACTTCTCTGAGCCTCAGTGTTCTCCTCTGTTAAATGGTCATAATAAGTCCTCCCAGTCCGCCTCCAGGGATGAACATAAGACTCAAATGAGATAATAAATGTGAAGCTATTTATAACCTCTAAGTTGTTTTACACATGTAAAATGTTATTTCTAAATGTTCTGGGTTTGGGTTTTTTGGGTTTTTGTTTTTTTGCATTTTCTCTGGGTTATTTCAGTTATATCTAGGTATTGCGCCGACTTGTAAATTTCCTGTAGGTGCAGAATCCAAGAAGAAAAATGTTACTGCTGCTTATCTCTGAGAAGATTTAGAACTGAAATGTCTTGAATTTTTTAAACAGTTAAAAGAACATCTTTAATACAAATTGTACTGGAGGCACTGCTTTAAATAACCTAAGTTTCCCTTAAGCAACCAGTACCAAATTGATAACAAATTAAACAAACTAACCCTCTATAATATTGGTATAAGAGGAAAGAACTGACAACTTAGAACAGAGTAAAGGGAAAAAAAGAAATTCAAAGCAACCTTAAGTTTAGTTTTACACCTACTAAATTAGCAAAAACATTTTAAAATGTTGAGGTTACAGAAAAGCCAATATGCACATACATTGCTGTTTGGATATAAATTGTTTGCTTCTTTGGAAAGCAAATTGATAAAATATATCAAGAGCAAAAAATAATTCTATTCTTGGAAATCTAGCTTAAGAATTTAACAGAATAAACAGGGTTTGTGTACAAAAACATATAGTATTACTCATAAATCATCAAAAAGTGCAAACATTTACAAGAGTGGAGAAGTGGTTTGGTAAAGCATGTTGCATCCACTGGATGAAACATTTTATAGCCATTAAAAGCAATCATTTCGGATGCATGGCCATGGCACCCTAGTCCTACCCAAGAAACCCCTGTGACCACAGTTGGACAGTTCTTCGTATCAGGAAAGGGCCAAGATTTTAGAACAGAACCTTGCCCAAGTCTTCAAGCAAGTCAAAGCTAAGTTCCCCAAGATGTTTCCAGTGAAGGTGTTCAGCTTGAGTCAGAGCCTACAAGATACCATGTGGCAGTGGGTTGGCAGGAGGTGGCAACAGGCACTCTAACATTACAGGAGTTTGATAACATACCATAATTCTGCTCACGATGGGACTACCCACATTCCACTGGCCTTGAAGGAGACTGTGGACACAGGAGCAAGGCTGTGCTCCTGCAGCCAGCTCACAACCAAAATTAAAAGGATGGCCAGACCCCTTGGAAAGAAGGAGTCAAATGCATTCAAAGAGGCTAGGGGGAGCCTTTGACTCTGTACTCCTTGCAACTGTAGGAGGGTATTCATGTACTTGTATAGTACCTTCTCCTTGAATCTGGACTGGTCCTGGGACTCACTTGTAACTATAGAATATGGCAGAAGTGATGCTGCATGCCTTCTGAAGATAGGTCAGAAAAAGTTTTCCAGCTTCTACTGGGTCTCTTGGAACACTCTCAGAGAGCCCTGGACCACCATGTAAGCCCTGTGACTGCCATCCTGGAGAAGCCAGATGTAGGCATTCTGGTTGACAGTCCCACCAAAGCTCAACCTTCTAGCCTCTAAGGTATCACACATATAAGCAAAGCTGTCTCATATTCCCTCGATCAGCCCATCCACAAGCTGATTACCCCCAAGTGACCTCAGCTAATGCCATATGGAGCACAAAAATTGATCAGAAAAAAAAAAAAAGAATTGATCAGTTAACCTTGGCCCAAATTCTGGACCCTCAAAATTATGGGACATAATGGTTGTTATTTTTAGCCACTAAGTTTGGGGGTAATTAATATGCAGCCATATATAACCAGCACATCACGTTTGGAGGATGCTTGAGAATAAACTCATAATTCCGTAAACAAGTAAATGAAGGTAAACAATCAAGCATCTATCCTGCCTTTCCTTTATGAACCATACTTTGGAGTAACCAAACAGTTGATGAGGTTGAGCTCTTTTTACAGAAGAATTATAGCTAATAAATGTGAGGGAATATCGAATTAGAATATATTATTATAATAAATAGAATATTTGAAACTCCTGATGAAATAATAGCATGAGGCAATGATCATCAATGACTGCTAAAATCATTAGACAAAAGGCAAGTGAGGAACGTTATAATGAACAGATCAGGCTGAGAGCACTTCAACCCACTAACTGCTATCTTCTTAATAAGCCAAGACAAGAGAAAACCAGCCATTATGGGCCTCCTGGTGTGAGACAACAAGAAGTACACAGCACCAGCTCTGAAATTTTCTTGCCCCCAAATCAAACCCGAACCTGGCAGAACTTCTGGATTTCATCCCAGAGACCAGGGGAACATGTTAAATGATCTCTGGGGGATGTAATCAGCAAAATGCAAAACATGGAAAATTCTACAGGGCAAACAACCAAGTTTCTTCAAAATATAAGTTTTTTTTTAATTGAGGAAGAAGGGGAATCTACTGATTAAACGAGACTTAGAAGATATACCAACCAAATTCAATGTGTAGACTATTTCTGGATACTGATATATGTATTTTTGAAAATATATATTTTAAACACTGTATATTTGATGATATTAGGAAATCATTTTTATTTTTTAGGTGTGCTAGGATATTGTAGATAATTTTTAAAGCATCTTTATCCGGGGTGCCTGAGTGGCTCAGTCGGTTAGGCATCCAGCTTTGATTTCAGCTCAAGTCATGATCTCGGGGATTCTGGGATTGAGCTCTGCCTTGGGCTCCATGCTCAGCTCAGAGTCTACTTGAGATTATTTTCCTCTTCCTCTCCCTCCCCCTCTGCACCTCCCTCTGCTCATGTGTGCAGGCACATGCTCTCTACCTCAAATAAATAAATAAAATCTTTTTTTAAAAAACAAAAAGCATCTTTGTCTTTTTTAATTTAAATTCAAGTTAGCGGCCCGGGCTCCACCACGCCTCCAGCCGGCAGCCGTGTCTCTCCGTGTCGCCTGCTTTGGACCTCCGTCCTCAACTCGACTCGCTCGAAATGGACCCCAACTGCTCCTGCTCCACCGGTGGCTCCTGCACGTGTGCCGGCTCCTGCAAATGCAAGGAGTGCAAATGTACCTCCTGCAAGAAGAGCTGCTGCTCCTGCTGTCCCGCGGGCTGTGCCAAGTGTGCCCAGGGCTGCATCTGCAAAGGCGCATCGGACAAGTGCAGTTGCTGTGCCTGATGTGGGGGAGCCTGTGCCCGAAGTAAACACAGCCATGTGTACACACCTGCAGTTTTAAAACATTTTTCATACTACCCTGACCCATTTGCTACATTTCCTGTTTCTATGAAGTACCTGAGTTAAAATAAAAATTGTTGAGTTTAAAAAAAAAAACAAAAAAATAAAAAAATAAAAAATAAATTCAAGTTAGCTAACATATAGTGTTATTATTAGTTTCAGGGGTAGAATTTAGTGATTTGTCAGTTGCATATAACACCCAGTGCTCATTACATCAAGTGCCCTCCTTCAGGCCCATCACCAGTTACCCCATCCCCCCACCCACCTCCCCTCCAGCAACCCTCTGTGTGCTCCCTATGGTCAAGAGTCTCCTATGACTTGCCTCTCTGTTATTATCTTATTTTATTTTTCCTTCCCTTCTCCTATGTTCATCTGTTCTGTTTCTTAAATTCCATATATGAGTGAAATCATATGGTATTTGTCTTTCTCTGACTGACTTATTTCACTTAGCATAATACACTCTAATTCCATCCATGTCTTTGCAAATGGCAATATTTCATTCTTTTTGATGGCTGAATAATATTCCACTCTGTGTGTGTGTGTGTGTGTGTGTGTGTGTGTGTGTGTGCGCGCGCGCGCGCGTGTGTGTGTGTGTACACACCACATCTTCTTTATCCATTCATCATCAGTCAATGGACATCTGGGCTCTTTCCATATTTTGGCTATTGTGGACATTGATGCTATAAACATTGGGGTGCAGGTGCTCCTTTGGATAAATACCTAGAAGTGTAATTCCTGGGTCATAGTGTAGTTCTATTTTTAACTTTTTGAGGAAACTCCATACTCTTTTCCAGAGTGGCTGCACCAGTTTGCATTCCCACCAACAGTGTAAGAGAGTTCCCCTTTCTTCACATCCTTGCCAACATCTGTTGTTTCTGTGTTGTTAATTTTAGCCATTATGACCAGTGTGAGGTGTTATCTCATTGTGGTTTTGATTTGTTTTCCCTGATGATGAGTAATGTTGAGCATTTTTTCATGTGTCTGTCAGTCATTTGTATGTCTTCTTTGGAGAAATGTCTGTTCATGTCTTCTGCCCATTCCTTGACTGGATTTTTTGTTTTTTGGGTGTTGGGTTTGAGGAGTTCTTTATAGATTTTGCATACTAGCCCTTTACATGCAGTTATTTGCAAATATCTTCTCCCATTCTATAGGCGCCTTTTAGTTTTGTTAATTGTTTCCTTTGCTGTGCAAAAACTTTTTATCTTGATGAAGTCCCAATCGTTCATTTTTGCTTTTGTTTCCCTTGCCTTTGGAGACATGCCTAGCAAGAATTTGCTGTGGCCAAGGACACAGAGGTTACTGCCTCTGTTCTCCTCTAGGATTTTGATGGACTCCATCATTTAGGTCTTTCAACCATTTTGAATTCATTTTTGTGTATGGTATAAGTAAGTGATCCAGTTTCATTCCTGTGCATGTGGCTGTCCAATTTTCCCAATACCACTTGTTGAAGAGACTGTCTTTTTTCCATTGGACATTTTTTCCTGCTTTGTTGAAGATTAGTTGACCATAGAATTGAGGGCCCATTTCTGGGTTCTCTATTCTGTTCCATTGATCAGTGTGTCTGTTTTTGTGCCAGTACCATACTGTCTTGATGATTACAACTTCGTAATAGAGCTTGAAGTCTGGCATTGTGATGCCACCAACTTTGGTTTTCTTTTTCAACATTACTTTGGCTATTTGGGGTCTTTTCTGGTTCCATACAAATTTCATAATTGTTTGTTCCAGCTGTGTCAAAAATGCTGGTGTTATTTTTATAGGGATTGCATTAAATGTGTAGATTACTTTGGGTATTACAGACATTTTAACAGTATTTGTTCTTCCAATCCATGAACATGGAATGTTCTTCCATTTCTTTGTGTCTTCCTCAATTTCTTTCATAAGTGTTCTATAGTTTTCAGAGTATAGATCTTTTACCTCTTTGGTTAGGTTTATTCCTAGGTATCTTATGGTTTTTGGTGCAATTGTAAATGGGATCAATTCCATGATTTCTCTTTCTGCTGCTTCGTTCTTGGTGTATAGAAATGCAACAGACTCCTGTGCATTGATTTTATATCCTGCAACTTTACTGAATTCCTTTATCAGATCTAGCAATTTTTTGGTAGAGTCTTTTGGATTTTCTACAGAGTATCATGTCATCTGCAAGGAGTGAAAGTTTGACTTCTTCTTTGCTGATTTGGATGTCTTTTTTTTTTTTTTTGACAGAGAGAGCGAGAGCACAAACAGGGGGAACAGCAGAGGGAGAGGGAGAAGCAGGCTCCAGCAGGGAACCCGATATGGGGCTCAATCCCAGGACCCTGGGACCATGACCCGAGCCGAAGGCAGATGTTTAACCATCTGAGCCACCCAGGTGCCCCAGATTTGGATGTCTTTTATTTCTTTTTGTTGTCTGATTTCTGAGGCTTGAACTTCCAATACTACGTTGAACAACAATGGTGAGAGTGGACATCCCTGTCATGTTCCTGACCTTAGGGGAAAAAAGCATCTTTATCTTTGGAGATAAAAGATGCATGTATCCCAGATGCATCTGGGATTTCCTTTAAAACAATCCAGTGGTAAGGGGATAGGAGTGGATTTAGTAAAATGAAGCAAGACCAGCCATACATGTTGATATTATTAAACCTAGGTGGTGGAGATGTGGAGGTTTAACACATTAATATCTCTACTTTTTGTACATAATTTAAATTTACATTAAAAAACTTTAAAACAAATAGCTCTAGACAAAACAATGGGGGGAAGTGTTTCTCGTGAGGCATCACTGAGTGATCTGAGTGCAAGAGAGACAGTCTTTACCTCTTCCCCTCTCGCCAAATCCCCCTGCACTTATAGGACTAGAAACCTAAAGAGGTGTCTGAAGTCACATTTTAAGGATGCATAATGGAGAGGAGTTTGGAGAGGGAACAAAATTATTAAGGAGGATTATACTGTCACCACTTGACACAATGGGGATTGCTGCTTTTAACTGCTTTAAACAAGTCTTACTTCATACCAGAGCTTCTACTCAAGAAGGCGTCGCCATGGGAAATGGATCCTGCCCAGATCAAATCTTTCTTCCTGGCTGGGTCTTTGAGTACATGTTCCTTCCGTACAGGGCAAGAGAATGAAGGTGGTTCTTACAATGCACTTGAAATTCTTTTTTTTTCTTCATGGTGCCCTTGTAGCCAGGTGTCTTGGAAGGCCCAGGAATGAAGGCGCCTCTGGATAAAGAGGCTGTCCTGCCTGAGAGGCTGGGGGACCAGGTCAATTTTCTGCTTTTCCATGGGTCTCTATTTCCTTCAGATGCAATGACAAGCAGTATAGCATAGGGTGATCCAGTGGACTCTGGACACAGCTGATTCTGCAAGTCGTCAGCTGGGCAATCTTTTACCTTGTTGCACCCCTAAAAGCAAGATGGGTCACCAGCAGCTCTATTGGAGTCATCCACAAAATTACAGCCAGAGTTCTCACTCTTGCTGTGTCTGCTCAGACTGGTACCATCTGATCCAGAAATATGGACTCAGTATGTGCTGTCAGTTTCTGTCAGTACTCGAAGGATACAGGCTTCATGAGGTCAGGTTAAGTGATCACCCTTGAGTGGATTATCCAAGACAACTGCCTGATGAAGGAAACAATGCTAGCTCTTAGTGCATATATTTTAATTAAAAAAAAGAAGAAGAAGAAGAAGTAGGGGGGTGCCTGGGTGGCTCAGTCAGTTGAGCATCTAGCCCGGGTCATGATCTCCAGGTACTGGGATTGAGCCCCACATCCGTCTGTCCAGTTCCTTGCTCAGCAGGGACTCTGCTTCTCTCTCTCTCTCCCCACCCTGCCCCTTACCCAGCTCATGCACACTCTCGAAAGAAAGAAAGAAAGAAAGAAAGAAAGAAAGAAAGAAAGAAAGAAAGAAAGAAAGAAAGAAAGAAAAGAAAGAAAAGAAAGAAAAGAAAGAAAAGAAAGAAAAGAAAGAAAGAAAGAAAGAAAGAAAGAAAGGAAGAAAGAAAGAAAGAAAGAAAGGAACAAAGAAAGGAACAAAGAAAGGAACAAAGAAAGAAAGTAGGGACAGTAACTTCCAGCTCACATTCTTGCTGAAAGTAGAAAATTAGATAATGTATGTAAAGTGCTCAGCATAGGTTCTAGTATAGAGATAGCTTTCACTAAATGCTTATTACTATAATTTATTTCTCCATAAAATGTGGATTGGTCTAAAAATCATTAAGGGTCCTCCTTATTCTAATGTTGGAGGAGTCATTCATTTATACAACAGTATTTCTCACCAAGCCATACACCAGGTTCTGGTGCTAAGGTGGAGACAAACTTGGCATGGGAGCTGGGGGCTAAAGCATATAAGACAAAAACTCCACATACTCAAAATTACTCTTAAAATTCCTCCACCATCAGCTGACCTCCCAATCATTTGCTCAGAGGTGCTGAAAGAGGTGCTACTAGGGGGAGCTACATGGTCTGGGCCATGGAGTGATGGTAGCTATGGGATCTTTCAGGATGTGGCATCTTGTCTCCTTGCAGGACCTGGAAGGTAAGAGCCTTAAACTCTCCTCCATTCAGACCTTTGCCTTTGAACCCTCAACCCCAGTGCTGAATGAGAAAATGGAGAGCAGCCTCAGTGGTGACCTTCCATCAAGTTCAGGGTCACCATGAGATGGTCATCTCCCAGTGACTGGGAGCATGCTGCTTTGGTAGGCTCCTCACACCTCCCTGTGGCACTCAGGCCCCCACAACCTGTTCTCAACATTCCACACAAATGCACTGAGCACCTTCCATGAGAAATATGTTGTGCTGGGCACCTGGGTGGCTCAGTCGGTGAAGCAGCTGCCTTCAGCTCAGGTCATCATCCCAGGGTTCTGGGATCAAGTACCTCATCGGGCTCCCTGCTCAGCTGGGAGTCTGCTTCTCCCTCTGCCCCTGCCCCCCACTCATGCATTCTCTCACTCTCTCTCTCTCTCTCTCTCATGAAAATAAATAAATAAAATCTTCAAAAAAAGAAAAATGTGTTGTGCTGAGCTCTGGCAGGAATGAAGTAAGCCGAAGGTGGCTTCTCCCAGAACTGTATAGACATGGACGCCAGCCACAGTAAGGTACAGCCAACAAGGCCACAAGAAGGGCC